TTAGTCTAAGCATCCTGATTCCCTCCAGATATTCTGAATCACAATTCTTGTAAATCTTAGCAGCATAGCCAATAGTTAGAAATTCTGGGAGTTGTCCTAAACTTCTGGAGGGTACCAGATTCTTTATTTCTTCTCTGAGTAGTGTGTTTAAGATGATACTCTTAGAAATTAAGGCAACCTGTAAATAATTCTTAAGGGAAAGTGGTTTTCTTTCTTTTTTGAGTAGCCTATCTTTCCATAGGGAGGACTGTGCTCTCAGTCTGGTAGAACCAAAGATGGATACACTTTCCTTCATAAGCCAGTACAAAAACAAGTGACTGGATGAGAAATGAAGAGATCCATCTTCCACAAACTACTCACTAATTAGCATAGATTCAAATCTGTACTAGTATAGTGTCTCCCATCAGTGACTCACTGCATCAGCTGCAATCTCCTACAGCTACTCTACATGGAATAATCTAGGCATTAAATTGTCAGACCTTGGGCAGTATAGTGGCTGTATCTGATTTAGATGGGGTAAGAAGCAAAGCTTGATGCTATAAATTGATTTGCATAGGAATCTTTTTAAATTATATGCATGCATGCAGACACAGGGAAGATATTATTTGCTTTGCTCTCAAATTTGGTTTAGAATTCTGTATTGCATAATTCATTGAACTTATGAGCAATAAGTTCTGGAGAAACTATATTCTAGTGCTTTATAGTTACATGAGTCATATATGACTATTGTGATTAAGTATACTGATCCATGCTTAAATCCTTCTTTGGCACAACTAGCTGGAAATTCATATGTGTACTTTGCTTAGCCTTCCACAATGATCAAATCCCTCTCTTGACATGTTAGAATCTAAAACCATGGCTCATCTTGACTTCTTTTAAGTGTAATAAGTTTGGTATCTTGGTTTGCATGTAGCACTAAACAAACCACAGATGGGATTCTTGTTTTGTGTAACTGTTCCCTGCTGGTAGGTGAAGCTAGACAAGAACTACTGAGCAGCATGCATCGGCCTATTAATTCAAACATGGTAAATCAGTATTTGTTCTTATGTGCAAATTGTCCACAGTCTAGGTACAATGTGTATAGCTGAAAAACAATATAATGAGAATAGATTATGCTGTTTCTTTGGAAATCCCTGTCAACTGAATTGAAGAACCAATTAACACTCAGAAACAGATTTCTGTTCCTTTCTATTTCCTCTCTTTTGCTTCTTTTTCAGTAGCATAGAAAGAATGCTTTTCTTCGAACGAATGCATTTGAAATAAGCCTTTTCCATGGTTTTTAGCCTTTTTTAGATGATGGTCATATTGGCATATTCAGTGTATGTTATGGGTACTGCAAGGGGGCTGCCCACTACAAAATGGCTGCCCTGGAGGATAGGAGTAGTTACCATGCCCCAAAGTATCAGAGTACTCTCTGCCACTCTTTTAGCCTACTCCAGGATGCTTCCTATTATCTCTAGCTTAGCATTCTCCTTTGCTTGGAAGGTGAGCATATTTCAAAGTAAAGCACTGAGCTGCAGGTCTGTCATTTGTACTTTTTCAAGAAAACGTGTGGGGCTCATTAGGGGCCAAGAGACAGTTTTGGCAATAAATAATGCTGAAGGATGGTGCTTGTCCTTTGCAGCATGCTAGCTTCCTATTTTTTAAAAAAAAACATTAAAAGTATGAAAAGGTCAGGTAAAGTAGGGAGCCTAGTACACATATCAAGGAACAGGTGGACAGACATATTTGTGTCTAGAAAAAAATGATGGGAACTTCCTCTTAGTTTTGTCAATATTTCAGGTAGTCAGATTTATTATCAGTTGCATTAAGCAAATGATAGGTTCAAAACTGAGTCCTGTAATTTTCTTTTTAGTGAAGTAACATCTATGATGTAATTAAATAATATAACAATAATAATAATAATAGTAATAATGTATTAAACTTGTATGCTGTCTGACTCTCAGTTATAACTTATAGATGGGTGTCATGCCTTTGAGGTAGGAAGGGCAAAAAACAGTCACGATAGAGATTCCAGGAATGCTCTTTATTGTGATAGGGTAGATAAGGGTAGGTAACAGAACCTTGAAAGCCTGCTCAAGTTTTTCTCAGATTATACTAAACAAAATCAAAGCAGAGATATTTTGAGTTTCTTCCTCACGCTTTCCTCTTTCTTGGGACTGAGTAATCAAAGTTCCCTTTAACACCTTGCTCATTCTTCCCATTCCCAAGCTATATATGAATTAAACATTATTACTGATTGAATCCTTAGTTTTTTATGCTATATGTTTGAAAGTCAGTCTTAAATAATATTTTGAAGCTATTAAAATAGTGTCCAGATCAACTCTGTGGCCATGCCATGTCCTTTACATGCATTCTAAACCACATTGTTCCTTAATAGGATTCTACTCTATTATTTTTTTTAATCAAATACAGTATCTTCTAAAAGAGAAATTTGCTTCTGCCGCAGTGTTTCTTTTCAAGTTTCAACAGATACTGGGACAAAAGTTGGATGTGCTTCCTTCATATAAACTAGGCCTTCAGTGATAACAACATTTTGATTCTTGCTATCAAAATGCTGTATTTTAAAAAAACATAAAGTCGCCTGCTTGTGACCCTTTGTATAGGTAGATTGATTACTCACTTTAAACTAGATGTAGCTTTTGTATCAGAAATTGAAAACTTTTGTGTTTCACGTGTGTTAAATTACTAGGGCCATGAAGCAATCTGTTTTGGAGATAAAGATTTGGAGCATCTAAGTCTGCATCAGCACGTCCTTTAAAATGCTGCATATTTTCCTGGGCTGTCCCTGGAAATGGTGTATGAAATGTTATTTTTCATTAATTATTGAAACCCTTTACTATATTAATAACCATTGAAATGGCAGTGGTTCCCCAATTTTTAAATAGCAATGGAAATTCTAGGTAAAAGTTTATAAATTAAGATTTATTTTAAAATACTTTTTGAAATAAATGTATAAATGAGGACAATCCTGTTTTAGTCATCTTAAGAAAATATTGAAAGTTAATTGAAAGTTATTGAAAGGTTATTTTAGTAAAAAGGTGCCTCTCCCTTTTGAAAACATTATCCTTCTCCTTTTTTCTCATTGAATAAATTGCATATATTATAAACCCAGTTAATGATTGCAAAACATATGTCACACTCAACTCTATAATAGAGTCATAGCAATAATTTGAATCTGATTTTTAGGATTTCATATGAAATCAGTAATTAAAAACACAACAGGCCTTGTAGCTAGTTAGCAAATCAAGTAATACACATGCACATATGCACTTTTCCTCTGTATATAATAATTAGTTTCATAAATTTCAACATATCTGAGTTTTCTGAAGTTAAGAAAAGTTTTGATATGTTTGTTCTATATTTGTAAGCCTTCAGAATGCCCAGCTAATTTGAGGATAAGGCTGTAAGTGACCTAGATAGATAGATAATGTGTAGAAGCAGAAGTAGAATGTGTCTAAACACCATTTTCTTGGGGAAGGTCTTCGTTGGACACTGTAGGAAACAGGATGTTAGTCCTTTAGTCTGATTCTACATGGTTCTTCCTCATTTGCCAACTTCTCTAGAAAACATGCTTTAAAACATGATTTTTGAGAAATTAAAGCAGATGGATATTTTATAGATACGGTAATCTAAATATGGATAAGTCTGGAAAACAGACATTTTATAATTAACAATTATAAAGAATTGGCACCAAGACATTAGGGAAAATATATATTTGAGTACATGGAGTTGTCTTGATGTTGCTTATTTAGCTGTATTTAACTGCAATTATATAAGGCTGGTTGATGAGAAGAGTTTGGATAAGTATGGAAATTGCCAAGGGAGTAGGTGTCTTTGAAATCTCTTTTCAGTGGCCAGTGCTACCTCCCAGGTTGCCTCAATCCCAGTTTCTTCCTAAAATGGCAGGAGTCCTTCAACTTGAGAAAAAAGGAGAATTGTCCTCATTTTGAAGAGCTCTAACTATCTAGGATTTGATTTATTTTGGCTTCTGTCTTGTAAAAGGCTATGAGTGTGCCAAAGGCTAATTTTAAAAAAAGAATTAGATATGGTGCAGTAGTTCTTTAATGGACTTCATATTACCTATTAGTTTGTAGGACTGTGCAAATCCCTTGAAAGAAGCGCTTTGGAGTTCCCAAGAGCACATACAATATTTGGATCAATCAGATGTGAAGCCACATCTTTTTCCAGGCTCACAGAGCTGCTTGGAAAACTGTTTTTGTCTGTCTTCACATGCCTGTGAATGTACAGCCCCTGGAAGTGACCTGTACAACAGCTGCACAAAATTAGAAAAGGATGTAGCTACTTTCACTGAAAATAGGTGGTTTATGTTGCTCCCTAGCATTCTGAAGGATCTCTGTTGAATGATTTGCACATCCGTAGTTTCCGTGTCAGTGGAAGAATAAATTGTTTTGTAGTTTGCTGTAATTTACTCTGTTTAATAATGCAGCTTTTTATATATGAAAACCTTGTTGTAATCCTGTCATTTGTATGACTGCTTCCAAAAATAGATTTAGCAGCAAGTATAGAAAAGGTGGTGACGCTCATTGTGCTGATAGAACATCGTTAATGCTAGGTTTGCCACTTTGATTTAGATGTTTCTAATATTTATTTTTTTATATATGTTAAGTTGAACAATGAGGGGTTTGAAGATTTTTCAGGCCTTCTTAAGAAGTTAGAAGTTAAGGGATTTAATTTGTTTTGTCTAGTCTCCATTGGCTTTATCTAGTCACTCTATCTCTCTCTTTTCTCCTTTTCTTAAGTTTAATACAATTAATATTTCACTTTTCCTTCAAGGCACTATGCCATTGTCCACTATATTGTTACAGTAAGTAGTGGAGTAGAGTTGCACAAAATACAGTTTATTTAAGGTCACACCATTGAGCTTTATAACGGAGTTGAGATTTCACCAATGTCCAACACTTTAGCCAAGTATCTGCTTTAACTTGGACACAAAGCCATGTGTAACATCAAGTGTCTCATCATTTTTTCAAGATCAGCCAAGGTCTGCTAGATGCTGCCACCTGCTGTGACACAAGGTCATTTAACAAGCAAAAATGAAGACACGTGAATAGGAGTAAGGGGTAAGAATCCAGACATTTTTGTTGCAATATTTGATTAAGACAACGTAGGGAGGTATTTGTTTTAGTTCAGATAAATTAAAGAAACTAATGTATTTATGTGCTTTTCATTAATTTCATAATAATTGTTCATCATGATTGCTCTGAAATTTCACCAGGATTCTAGCTGAACTCAAAGAAGTTTTTGCTTTAACCTTTCAGTTCTTCTGTATGCATCTGACAATAGATTTCTGTGGTGACTGATGATGATTCCCAGTTCTTCCAGAGTTCTCAACATAAATATTAGGGCTGTGTGAATCTTTTGGAGGAATGCTTTGTGAAACACTCTTCTAAATTGCTGTTTAAAGTATTGAGGTGCTGCTGTTCTTGAAGGATCGCTGCAGACAGTTCAAGGGTTTCTCCATGTTATCTGAGTAGTCCAGGAGAAATGCCACTATACATGCACATACATGATCAGATAATCCTCTAACTTGTTCATACAGCTTTTTATATTATATCATAGCAAGCTGAAACTTATTTTGTGTAGTTCTTTAAAAAAAAAGAGCTATCGGCCTTCTGTGAGTTCTGTGTCTTATTTGATTTCTCATATTTGCCTCAGCTAAAGTTGTTGCATGAGTAAAAAGAATTGAGAGTTGGATAAGGGAAGGACAGTTTCTCTGGCTCGGGAAAGCATGTGTGTTAATAACTTTCAAGTCAAGTGCCTGAGAATGAATTTCTGTAAACTTTAATGGTATTTTCAAGCCTTATTTTTCTGTAAAACATAAAGGAGAATCTTAAAAAAGGAAGGGACCACTTAAGCTAAAATTTAATCCTCTGCTTGGTGCAAGAATTGATTCCTCAATCTAGATATCAAAATTCAAGCATTCCCAACAGATGGTTTTTGAGCCTGTCCTTGAATACATGTAGTTCAACATCAGAGATGCTGATACCTAGTCTGGGTGATTCCACCGTTGAAATGTACTTGCTGTTGAGATGCTTTTTTCCTGATATTCCATTTGAATCTACTTTTCTATAATTTAAATCTATTATTCCATGATAAAGAACAGCTCTTGACCTTTTTTGGTGTGATATCAGTCCAGATATTTGGATAGTGCTATCAGGTTCCTCTCTCTGTTTTCTTTTTTCAGTGCTAAATATATCAATTGTTTCAGACTCTCTTCATAGGCCTTAATTTCCAATCCGCTGGTCATCCTCATTGGCTTTCTTGGGGCCACTTTCTGTAAATGTATGGATTTTAATATGCCACATTGGAACAAAACCAAGGACCCTTTTTTCCCCCCAAGAGTTTCAAACATATGCCAAAAATGATCAATTATTTATTCTTCCATGAAATACTATTTAATAATGACCTTAGCAGTGGTTAGTTTTACTGCCCATTTAATCCAGCATTATTGTATATACCGTATTTTTCCGACTAAAAGACGATACTTTTT